GCTGGGGAGGGAGAGGACCCGGCGGAGCTCTAACTTGCAGCTCTGCCGGGTTCCTTTCGCGAGATCGGGAGCGTTGCCATGGCAACGCCCCGATCTCGCGAGAGTCACCACTGGACCACCAGGGATTGTGTGCGAGTGCCGGTCCCCCACCCCCCCCACTCACCAGCGTGCCGGACCCCTCCCCCTCCCAGGCTAAAGGTAAGGGGGGGGATATAATGCATGATTAGTTTTTTTGTTTATCACCCTTATTTTTTTTTTTATTTGTATATTTATTCCCACTTAGGTTTTTATTTGTTTATTTACCTCCCAACACCCAACATTTATACACAGCACTCTCACACACATCACACTCAGCACTCACACACTCAGCACTCACACACATCACACTCAGCACTCACACACATCATACACAGCACTATCACACTCAGCACTCACACACAGCACTCTCACACACATCATACATAGCACTATCACACTCAGCACTCACACACATCATACACAGCACTATCACACTCAGCACTCACACACATCATACACAGCACTATCACACTCAGCACTCACACGCATCACACACAGCACTATCACACTCAGCACTCACACACATCATACACAGCACTATCACACTCAGCACTCACACACATCATACACAGCACTATCACACTCAGCACTCACACACATCACACACAACACTCACATACATCATACACAGCACTATCACACTCAACACTCACACACATCATACACAGCACTATCACACTCAGCACTCACACACATCATACACAGCACTATCACACTCAGCACTCACACACAGCACTCTCACACACATCATACATAGCACTATCACACTCAGCACTCACACACAGCACTATCACACTCAGCACTATCACACTCAGCACTCACACACAGCACTATCACACTCAGCACTCACACACAGCACTCTCACACACATCATACACAGCACTATCACACTCAGCACTCACACACATCATACACAGCACTATCACACTCAACACTCACACACATCATACACAGCACTATCACACTCAGCACTCACAC